TATAGAAACTTTGAGAAGCGATTATAAACTCTATTTTGATCATACTCACACAACAACATCCAACCACTCTCTAATAATAAGCATGGAATTCGAGATCGCAAAGTTTTCTTTAGTTACATCAACTAAATGTCCTGTCCATGAGATTTCGGCATTTTTAGGATAATCAATAGTAGAAAGCACGGTAATTATATATTTATGTATCATATCAACATTATTCTCAGTTTCGTTATTTGCAGGCTGAAGTTTAATTGTGGAAAGGTATACATGTTGAAGTCGAACTTTATTCTAATTAAAATTATAGCATCTTTGCTTCAGCATTAAAACAATGGAAATTCTGTAATTTCAAATAACAAAATGATTAAATAATTAACCATACAACTATCTTACCAAAAAAAGATTTACTTTTGGATCAGTTGATGAAATGTTATCCAAAACTGTGATGAATTCTGGTGTCAATACTTCTTTCCAATATAAGGGCGATATGTCCACTAAACAATGATGTAGGCTAAGTGCAGCATACGTCATTATATCAATATGTTTATTCTTGTCATCAAGTTTTGTAGACAGTACAGGAAAAATAAACTGATCAAATAATGTTCGAAATGCTTTTTCTATTTCATTTCTAGAAACTGAAGTGATTCTTAAAGCTCGCAAAAATCTCACGATAAAGATGATTAACGATTCGATTTGACCCATGCTCGGTAAAAGAGGAACAACCGCCTGGTTCTCTAGTTTTCTCTTTTTGTTTTGTATTTTTATATCAACCGCTTGACTAAGAAAACTAGGCAAATATACATCACATAATTCAGAAGTAAATAACGCAATAAGGTCGCATGCTTGAGTCATTGGCATATAATTGGTAATTCTATTTGCGAATCTTTACAAGTTAAATTAAGAATGTTAAATAATGCGAATAAATTTACAAGTAAAATGATAGACATAATTCATGCTCACTCATCCAAGTGTTCTCTAGAAAACAACGGATTTTTCAATATTACATTATCTGGTAATCCATTAAGAGCGGACAAAAAGTTTTCAATATAAAAATTCATTTCGTGAGATTTAGAATATGTGGCCAACAAAGTTTTGCCCAGAGTCAAACATGAATCCAAAGACTCATCACACTGTTTTTGAATGTAGATAATGACTTATGAGAGATGAAACACTGATTAGTCGCAAAAAAATATATAATAAGAATACCTGAAGCATCAAACTACATAATGATTTAAAATGTGTACGTATGACTCTATGCTCTAGCTTTAATAATATATTAAGTCCTTGAAAATAAGGTTTTTACAATCATTTTCTACACAATAAGCTTTAAAATGTTACCTAAGTCTAGTTATGAATTAAATCTAATCTTTTGATAAGTAACTTACCTTGTATGTTAGA